CTCTCTCTCTCTCTCTCTCTCTCTCTCTCTCTCTCTCTCTCTAGGCAAAAAGTGTACAGATATTTTTGATACTTACTGCTATCAATAATGTAGTTTGGAATCATTTTATCTTTAAATATAGTTGCTGACATTCCAAAGGTAGCACAGGGAGAAGGGAAAAAGTACATGTGCATAAATCCACAAACCCACCAACTTTCAATTAAATTCATTTGTTTACTTAGCAGCTGCTTTAGAAAAAAAAGGTTTCTGAATAAGATCTCAACAGGATTCAAACAACTATTTATGTGTGTATTTATTTGTTAACTAGTTTTATAAAGCCACCCAACTTAAACAATGTTACTCTGGGTAGCATACAGCATGAAAACAACAATAAACCATTTCCCCAACCATGTAACACTAAAACATGTACAGTATATAAATATAAAATACAAAATATAGAAATGATGACCATGCACTATAACAGAAGAACCAAAAGGGGACTCCACTCAACTGGCCCCTAATGCCTGGGGGAAAAGCAAGCTCTTAATGGCTTTCCTAAAAACGAGCAGAGTTGGGGCCTTTTGTACATCAGTGGTGGGGATGGGGAATGACATTGTTCCAGAGGAGGAGGCAACCACAGAAAAGGCATGATTCTGAGGTCCCAAGACAAGATTTAAAAGAAAGGACTTGGAGCATACCCTCACTGTGGGAGCATGTGGGGTGGGCAGATGTTCTTGGGAGAAGGACCCAGTGACCCAGTCCTCTGCCATATAGGGCTTTAAAGGTGATAACCATCACCTTGAATCATACCCAGAAGCCTACTGGAAGCCAGTACAGCTCGCGGAGTAGCAGTGTTACATGAGCATAATGAGATATGCTCATAACTACCTGCGCCGCTGCATTCTGGACTAACTGAAGCTTACAGATGGTCTTCAAGGGCAGCCCCATGTAGACCGCATTGCAGTGGTCCAATTGGGAGGTGACTAAGGAGTGATCATGAGCAGGGCATCTCAGTCCAGGAATGGGTGCAATTAGTGCACAAAATGCAGTTGTACAAAGGCCCCCCTAGGCAGAGTTGCCACCTGCTTTTTGAGCAAGAGCTGTGAGTCCAGGAGAATCCTCGGATTGTGCACTAAGCCTGAATAGGGTAGTGCCACCCCATTCAGAACCAAGATGGAAACCCTCCAACTCCTGAATGGGGGGAACCCAAAACCCATAACTACTCAGTCTTGGCAGATTTGAAGGCAACCTGTTCTTCCCTATCCAGGCCCTCACAACCTCCAGACACTAGGAAAGAACCTCAACAGCTTCACTTGGATAGCTGGGGACAGAGATGTATAACTGGATATCATCGGCATATTGATGACACCTCATCCGAAACCAACAGATGACCTCCCCCAGTGGTTTCATGTAGATAGTGAAAAGGAGGGGGAGGGCACAGAGCATTGAGGCACCCCACAAAGTAGCAGCCTAGGACTCAACCACTCCCCTCCCACCAACACCTACTGGAGCTGGCCTTGGAGCAAAAAGGAAAACCAACAAAAAACAGTGCTGCCCACTCCCAATACTTGCATCCTGAAATGGATGTGACAAGGCTTTAATCTGATAACAAACTTTAATTCCCACAGAACAGAATAGGAGAAAGTTAGGATCATACTTAAGATTTACACGCATCTAGAAATGAATAGGATTTCAAACTGATTAAATTTAGCTTGTCAGAATTCTTTTCATCCTTAACAACTAGATCTAATACTTCCTACTGCCATAGCTTAAATAGGAATTAGGGTTAAGTTTCTTCTGAGTTTTATTTAAAGTAGTGTTTTATTATTACTTTTTATTAAATGCCTGTTATATACCCACAGCAATCAAAACTCATAGCCTCAACTGCCAGAAATCTTCATTGTTCCTGTGATTATGTGATAATCACTGTTCTATATGATCAATTCTCAGAAACCTCAATGGTTGTAAAATTCCTATTGATAGCCATAGCTTTTAGAAACTGTCTTTTTCATGTTATTAACTGTTTCTGGTTTTTTAATGTAATTTTATGTAACTTTATTTTATTTTTTCCTTTATTCATTGTACTCATTTACTATACTATACTTTTATGACTGCTCTTGGACTGTAAATAAATACAAACTTTATTATTACTTTCTAACTCCCCTGAGAAGGTACCAGATTTTAATATATTTAATATTCTTATATTATGAAAATATACGTTAATATAATTATTTAAATATATTTAAATAAGAAAATATTGTATGTAATATATTATTTTGTGTGTGTGTGTATAGTATAAAGTTTAAAGATAAACACGTCATTTACAATATATGAAACAACTCCAATATAAAAATTTTCTTGGCTTTGGTATCTCCATTATCAACAGAGTATCAATTAATTATGTTTCATCTTTCTATTAACACTACTATCACTGACATCAATATAGAGTTCTTCCTTTTGGAGGTGCCCAAAGTAGTTCAACAACAAGAGAATAAAAAAGACTTAAAATCAGAATAAAATTCTCAAGTATTCTATGAGTGTGTGTTAATACATTGCAAGTACCCTCCCAAACTGGTGGGATGCAAGCAACAGTATACTAGCGTGCAATACAGACTCCATCTTAAGATAATTTCTGATCAGTGAAGGAGATTATCTCCCTGCTCTTTCTCGATACTAAACTTTTCTTTGAGCTTGAGCAACCACAAGTATACTTTGAATGATTTGCTCAGTTCAAACAGAAAGTTTCCACAAATAAGAAATAGCATCAGAAAAGCTGAATAGATGGTACAGAAGTTATGCACAAATATTTATATTGTTGCTTAATTTCAGGTGATGAAATCATTAATAAATAATATCTGCAATTCAAGGTATCAATGTGCGAATATGGGCAAGGGAATACACCAATACTGTTTTAAATGCCTTACTCTGGCAGAAACTACAGTTTGAAATAGCATCCAATTATTCCCAGGAAAAAGTATGGATGGGGACAACTGTAGGTAGCTTATACAACCAAAACATACGGCGAAATCTGGAATTTAACCCATAGTTTGCTATAATCTCCAAAACCCATTTTCTATTATACATATTTCAGAATTTTCTCCAAAGGTCAACAGAGAATTTTTCTAGATCCTGGAGGTATTTAGTACATTTTGTAAGACCAAAGCTTTCCTATTAAAATTGTTGCGATAAACATTTATTTATTTAAAAATTAAAAATAATTCAACCCAAATGTTCTTCAGACTTAGAAAGAAAAACCAACAAAAACAACCCTGCGTTATACTTCCAAACTTGTCCAAAAGTTCAGCATTGCAATACTTTGCATTAGATATTTTTTAAAAAATAACAAAACATTCAGATTCAGAACGAAAAACGGTCTGCATGAAGTTGCAGTTGGTTAATTCAGGCATCAAATCCATAGGGATTTTGATGAGAATGTGCTACAGGAAAGCTTTTCTGTCCTCTAGCACTGAAAGTTTCGTGGTCTGTTTCTTGATATCAGCAAAGTTGCATTTGTAGCAACAAAGCTTGTTTGCATTACAAGCTATGACCATCTAATCTTTCTAGTATGCTTCAAAGATGTACAGATTTATTTTACTGTGTAGGACAGAGATACACTAAATAAATGCATCTTTAATATTTAACCATTTTTAAAATGATATTTTGAAGAATCTGGAATGAACATTCACTGATGAACTTTACAAGGTTCACATTCAAATCAAGAGGCAGCAATACCTTTTTCTTCTCCAATCCTACATTATATCTATCTGTGGGCCTGAACTGGCAAGCAAAAAAGTTGATTGCCACACATCATAGTACCATGGAGGGCCATAAAATCAGAAAACAGTGTAATGTATCCTCACATACATAGCTTGGAAAGAGGTGTTCTATTGATTTAGTATCCCTGGAGTTGCACAGGTAAACTTACAGTAGGCATTTCCCTACATTTCCCCAATGAACCACATGGGTAAGGCCTTACAGTGCAAATGCTTTTCTGAAATTTTCTGTTTAAAAGATACAGTTATTTTGCAATGCAGGGTAAGGATTCATTTAAGGAAACAGTATTTAATAAATAATTCTATTTCAGAAAATCTGGAATAGATTCTAATTTATTAACTTCACCAGTTTCACTTTTAATCTGTTTCTGTTTTCCTTCTCATTCTCTCTTTCTATATTCTTCACAATTGAAATTTAAGACTACAGGTAGTCCTTGGTTAACAATGGCAATGGGGACTGGAACTGCCATCGCTAAGCAATGTGGTTGTAAAGCACATCATGTGATTGAGCCACTTAGCAATGGCAGTTCTGGCAGTCCTGGTTGCTGTCATTAAGTGTGGACTGCGCAGGTCATTAAGCAAGGACCTCATGTGACCACAACTTCTGACTTCCTGTCAGCTTCCCCATTGACTTTGCTTGTGGGAAACTGGCAGGGAAGGTTGGAAATCGCAATCACATGACCCCAGGAACTCCGAGACCCGGTTGTAACTATCACACATTCAGCGCTGTCATAAGTTTGAATGGTTGAACAAGTGGTCATTAAACAAGGACCACCTGTATAAACTCATTGGGAGAGGCTGTTTTTAATCTTAACAAAGTTATATTCTTACCTCCTTTGCTTTATCAGAAAGCAGCAGTTTTATGCTTACCTCTGTCTTTTGCTTTATCTGAAAGGAGCACTTCTACTACTTCATATGACTGAATGGCATCAAGAATAATATTGCCTTCCTTGTTGAAAAGAAACAGCATGGGGATAGTGATGTCATCTGTATTCTTGCCATCACCCGCCATTTGAAAGAGGGGAGCTGTATCACTGCTACTTCCTTCATTATCATCTAGGTAGCAAACAGAAGTTTTTCCATTAAAATTTCCAGTGGAAATTTCCATCATTTTCACCACATCCACCACATATTTACTGAGTATTTTGTATGTGTGGTAATAGACCTAAGTGGTGTACTTTTTCATGGCAGCAACCTGAAATAATCTTTAGAAAATTATTTTAACAGAAATAGGGATGACATATCCTGTGTAATCTATGAAGTAGGAATACATACAAGGTTTTTAAAGACATTTTAAAGGTATCTTTTAGGTGTTATGGACAGGTGCTGATTTTGTAATGTCACAACTTACACTGGGTAATATCAAATGCTTAGTACTGCAAATTGCTGTGAAGAGAATCCAAATCCTGGATGCACAATCAAAAATTACAGTGAGAGCAATAAAGAGCTTCTACTGATACAATTTGAACATGTATATATTTATATGTATATGTATATCTAAGCAACAAAACATAAAATAATGTGGGTTTTAACCTACAGCTTCTCATCCCACCATCCAAATCATAAGAGATGCTTTGGAAAGGGAGTACAAAGCAGTACAATATGAAATATTCCATTCTAAAAAGGAAATGCCAGCATAGCACTAAGCTAGCACAAGTCGCTAGAAATAGCCTAGGCATCTGTTTGGACTGTACCCTTGTGTCCACTCGACTGCATCTTTGCCAGCCTGCCATTTGGCTTTCTTTGCAAACAGGAGGCAAATCTATCTTGTGCCTTGCCAATGTATTTCTTTACTCCACTTGGTATACAGATCAGATATCAACACAATCTTAGTCACTGAGTAAGTTACTCAGTCAACTTAGTAGTTGTTCAAGGTGTCCTATCTGTTTCGATGTTAAACATGGGTCATTATATAACCCAAAGCATTCAGATAATCTTCTAGAGTGCAAGTTTCATACCTGCCCATAACAATTCAGAAAATATACAATGAATTACAGTATCTTTGCATAACTCTGAATAATTTACCAATAACAATGCCGCCAATGGCCCCAGCTTTTTGGATGTTCCGTGCCTTTTCAGCAAACATGCACTGCCCTCTTTGCATCAGAGCAATTTTTTCCTTCAGTGCTTCAGGATTGGTAATCTCAGAGCATCCATTATATGGTTTACTGACTGCAACAAATCCTCTTGTCTATGGAAGAGATTAGAAGCTTTAGTATACAACATTCAAGTCTGTAGAACATTTGCATTCTACCAGCAAAACATCAGAACAGCTTCCTAGCAAATATATCAAGTCCAACACAAAATTCAATATGTATAAATCCACTGAAATCAATTAACTTACACTGCACTGGAACATAGCCAGCAATTTTAACTCATTTAATACAAAATGTGTTTTCTTCATTTATAATTGTTATGCTAAATAAGAATAATTATACCAACCTTAGCAATATTTTAAAGCTGTTTTACTTTATAAACCTATCATATAGCAAAAGTTGGTATAAAATATTTTAAATTTAGCACATAATATGGTGTCGCTTAATCCTATAGTTCTGATCCAACTTAATAGACTTTTTATATTTTGAGTTCCTACATGAATTTTAAATAACCAATGAAAAACTGCTTCTTGTGATAGATTAACACTTGCCTAGCTGGTTATGGAACTGAGATAAACATATTCAACATAAATAAGATTGGAAGAAGATATGGAAGACATGACTACAATAATTTTCCTGAGTGTCTCAGCTATCTTTAGTTTAAAAGATGAACAGAGCATAGCCTCCAGATGTTTTGGGCTCTTAGCCAATGTGGCCAGTGGTGGAAGATGTTGGGAGTTGTAGCTCAACAGCAGGGTGCGCACCTCTGTTCAATACAGCTGAGCATGATATTCTTCTGGAAAAGAACACTCTCGCATTGGAATGGTTTCTACCCTATTTTACATATCACTGCTACTTAGTTAAGAACACATAACTGAGAAAGGACAGTATAAATGCAATGTATTTTTATACAAACAATATAGATGGCCAAAAGGCAAGGGGTATATGGACAACATTTGGCCCTAACGGCTTTGTATTATCTGGCAGTTTAGAATGCAAAGGTTTGAATCAGATGACCCAAAAATTAACCCTTAATTTTACTTTTCACAAGACTTAATAGGAAAACATATAAGACAAGCCCATAGTCAAATCTGCCAACAAAGAAGCCTTGCATACTAGGTTTTAAGTTAAGTATGTGCATTCAAGTATATATCTTGCTTCAGTTAAGGACTATACAGGCATGAAAACATTTTTTAGTATTTATATTGTAAACTGGATTGAATTTTCTATATACATAAGTACTACAATGAAAAATTTCCCTGGTCCAATCCAGCCTCTGGAGTTGCAAAGCCAAACATAAAACAGAATTGTTGCCAAGCAGTTATTCAACTGGGACTGGTAACCTGCTCTATTCCTTTGATTCTGTATTATAAAATCACAATAAGATTCAAAAGTTCACTCTAAGTTATAATCAAATCAAATTAAAAAACCAAACAACCCCGTATATTTGCAGCATTTATTATACTGCATAACAATCAAATGTGCTTGATCAACAACAGAACTGTGAAAATTGTTTCAAGCTCAAAATGCATGGTTCTGACTTCACAGGAGATGTTCCAAACTCAAAAGAAAGGGATCTCAAGAGCCCATATCAAGCTTGAAATATTTTGCACACTTCTAACAACAGTGAATGAGATTCCAAACGGCATCTCCAAGAAGTTGCTAGAGGAGAGGGAGAACAGAAAATGCAAAAAAAAAAAAAAGTTTCTGCAGCAGTGAACTGCTGCAATGTGCTATTCCTTAACAGAGGCAAGGATTTTCAAGTAGTTTGGACAAATCTTCTTTTTTGTCTATACTATTTTCCAAACGTTTTGGTTTCCTTATAGATGCACCATATTTTGCTTATGCTATTAATTCAGATCATATTAATACTTGTAAAACATGGAAAGAAGAATCTTACAGGGTTATTTTGTACCAATATATCACTAATTTGGGTGGTGCACATGTCATGTTACAAGCATGTGTCATCCCTGCTTCATCAGCTGTACCGGTTGCCAATTTGCTTCCAGATGCAATTCAAGGTGCCGGTTATCACCTATAATATTCATCGGGCCCGGTTATCTGAGAGACCATCTATCTCCAATAGTTTCTGCCAGCCCAGTAAGATTAGGCAAAGTGATCGTCAATTAAAAAATGTCATCTATTGAGACCCAGGTAGCACACTTCCTCTCTTGTGGTGCCTGCCCCTGGAACAGCATTCCCTGCAGTTTCACATGGCTCTCACCCTAGAGCTGTTTCAGTCATTAAAAACTCCATGTGAGATTAGGTTGGATGCCAAGCCTTTGTTAGTTTTTTATTGCTTTCAGGCATATTGGTTGTTTTACTTTTCTGGATGCACTGTTGTTGTTGTTTTTTTAATTGTTTGGGTTTTTGTGTGTGTCTTGTAAGCCTCCCAGAGACTTTTTGAAGTCAGGTAGTCTCCAAATCAAATAAATAAAATATCCTTTTCACATTAACCGAGTAGTTCACCAGCTGCTAGAAAAACTGAAATATATGGACTCCTTTTATGCAAGTTAATTAGTCTCTGTTCTAAATAAAACACTTTGTAGCAAAACTCTAAGATATTTTAAGTACACATCAACAACTTCATATTCTGCATGCACACATGCCACAAAATAGAAGATATAAATTAAATAAAACTGCAAAGACAATACATGCCCCAGATTTGTGTTTAGACAGGTCCATTCCAAACTGTGCAGGTCCCGCTGTCAAAACTACTCTGCCGAAGAATGGATGGGAAACAATTTGAACTGCACGAGGAGGTAGCTGCTGCTCTTTTTGTTGTTGACTGGACAACTCAATCATTTCTTGCATGAATCGTAAGCCATCTTCAGCATCCAGTGAACTTGCTGCCTAATAAAAGTCAAGCAAGTTAATATTTCAATTAGCATTTTCCAGAGCCTACTATTAAAGACAAAATAAACAACAGATATTTGGTGAGAGAACTTTTATAATTGAGTTGATCTAAACTCCTAATGCCTGGCTAAGAGAGTTTTAGAATAATTATTCCTTAAGAAAGAGTTCCAAAGTCATTGGTGCCACCATAAAGATGGCTCAGGTCATGGTCTCAAATCTAATAAATATTAGCTTCAATTTCCCTATGATTTTAACATGTCTCTCATGAAACTATCAGCACCACAACACCCTAGCATGAATAAATGGATTATAAACTCCTATTATCTCTAGGGTGAATATCATCAAGAAATAGGTATGTCCAAATGTTTCACTGAAATTAGGGCAAGCATTCCAAAAACTACTTTCCAAGACGTATGGCACATAAATGAAAAGAAGGTCATATGTGGGTTAGGGCAAAGCAAGATCTTACTTGAATAGCATGCTGCACCAATTGTACTCTTCCATCTTTGAGATGAATCAAGCTGACTCCCATCTTTTTCAGTATCTCTAAATGTTCTGGATTACTGGCCATGAAATCCCTGGCTCTCAGGGGAGGCTTTGGTCCACTGCCTAAACTCTCCTCCCTGAAAAAAACCAAGCAAGCAAGCAAGCACTATCAACATTTTAAGATATGAACTGATTGTGTCCCAATATAAAGCAGATGTGTGTGCCTGAAGCATATTGTGGATTTCCACTAATAATGAGTGACTGAGTAGTAAACTGGTTAAAAGTTTTCTGAGAGCCATCTGGGTGATTTTGGGCCAGTCACTTTCTCCAGCCTAGAAAGAAGGCAATAGCAAATAACTACCAAAAATGTATCCAAGCCTGAGTCAATCTTAACTTAAAGACACCCCCCAAAACAAAACAAAACAAAACCCTTTGCAGAAGCTGATAGGATAAAAAAGTAACTGAGTCAGCATCTTCCTGACAGCTTTAAAGTCTTATTTTCTCTCATTCTTTACTTTGGTGCTATTATATAAATGAGGATTTAAATGTTCTTTTCCCTCTGCTTTGTCAATAAATGAATTCCTTGCTCTTGCTCCTTATTCATGACATGCTTACTAATGTCTATATGCACACACTTGATTCTCTAAACTCCTACAACGCATACACTCAAATACATTGGAGAAGACATGCCAAGGAAGACCTGGGCACACTTGCTAATCACATGGCAGATGGCTAGCAAACTGTCAGAAGTCCAATTGCTCAGAAGAAGAAGACATACAAGAGTCATTTTTTGTGACTCCTTCCCTAGGACAACAGCAGCATTGGGGGTAGAGAGGGGAAAACCTGTGATATATATGATTGATAAACATATCTTTGAATGCACAACCATTTTAAATTACAAATTGTTTTTTCTTTTGCCCTTTTTATTCTCTGGTTCCTTTCTATTTCTCACTCTATTGAGTAGAATTTCAAGGAGTTATACACTAAAGAAATTATAAGGATTTGGGAAAATATTTTAATAAAAATTATGCTTGTGATAAACCAAAAATTAGATCTTAGGGAGATAGCCTCTATAAGCTAATGATATTTGTACAATTTGTTAGCCTAGCAAAAATTAGTAAAAAAATATTAATAATGGGACTTAATTTAGCAAAACAAACAAACAAACCCCAGTAGATTAATATAATCATTTTTCTATATACCTTCTTTTAAAAACACCAGAATAAGGAAAATATAAACAAATCTTACATTCTGGAAATACTCCTAGGGCAGCTTTTGTCCACCACATTTTTCAGGGGTTCCCTTATACTCTGAGCATACATAGGGTCATTGGGAAATAGGATTTGGGTGTTAGGACAAGTCCAATCAAAATTACTATCATCCAGCTCCATGTATTCTGTAGTCTGTAGAAAAAAAGGTAGACACACTCTGCTAAATTTAGAGCTAAGTATTATGACTATAAACCATCAAATTGTTTTAGGAAATAGACAATCCAAAGGTATATAAAAATATGTAGATAGAAGCAGATTCTCCTTCCAACTGATCAGGATTTTATATCCAATCACATTCATAATCATACTCTGAGCAACCCTGCTTATTCTCTGTAAGAAGTACACTATAAAAATAGAAAGAACACTTTAGAGCAAATGATTAATTTAATTAGACTAAACAATTTTCAGTACAGCACTCACAATATTTTTTACAAGGGCCGTTTGGTTTGTAGTAGATAGCCAAAGAGGTAGCAAATGAGCCTCTGTAGTAAAAATATAGTCTTCAATATCAAAAGTTAGGTCTTCTTTATCAGCAAAAAGCAGGTATAAATATTTGAACATTTCAGCTAGGAAGAAAGAATCCATCCTACAAAGAGAAAATTTGCATTTATATTACTTCTTTTTGATGTTTTAATTTTCCTACAGTTCTAACAAGCCTTTCTTCTACATAAAGTAGCTGAAGAACAGCTACTAATGACAGTTATAACATCATCTAGACTATGTTAACTACAGTTTCAAAATTGCAACATACATTTAATTAAGCAATGTGTATATTTAAACAATGTATATATAGTGCAAGAAATTTTCTATCATGCAAAAGTGCTTGCAGAATTGCACATGTATTTCCTCTCTTGGTGCTATGGACCCTAGCCACAGGCTTCAGATTTTTCCAGTTTCTATTATATAGTCTTAATTGAATTATTTTTATTTTTAAACTATCATTAGCTGCCTTGGAGGTTCCTCTATGCAAATATTTTCCTAAGATAAAAACTGAATGTTATTTTACATAAGCTTAAATAATAAAATAGTAACATTAAAAAGAAAAAATCCTATTAGCATACAATCATATTTTTGCCAATGTTGCTTGACAGGCAAATGAACATCAACATTTTAAAACTGAATTTTACAAACAGACTTTTGTCTCAAGATTTTTTGAAAGAGTTCAATTACCTGTCCTCATGGCTTCCAGTGCGAACATCCTTCATAGCAGCAAAGCCACAAGGTACTCGTGCGTATTTATTTAAGTTTTCAATTAGCGTTTTTCCTACTTCTAGGTAATAGGGATCTCCAGTAGCCTATTTTTAAGGGAAATAATTTGTATTAATATATTCCACTGACATGATATTACTCTGATATTTGATCTATGAGCCATTTTAAGTCTTTGATTTGAAATTATAAGATTCTAAAACACATTAGGAGTTTTAGTCTGTTAAAGAACATAGTTAAAGGCAACTTCCATATCTTAAAAAAGAAAATCCCAAAATCAAAAGTATTTTTGTTGTGAAATATCACAACATCTCAATAGAACTGCATGCTAATTAGCTTAATTGCAATAAGCTTTTAAAATATAATTTTTGTCTTCTAACAAAAACTGAAAGTATATTCCAAAATTATGTATTGCATTCAGTCAAATCAATTTATTTTGTTTAAATATTGTGCTGATCACAAGTTACAAATGTCAACTCTATAAGCAGCCACCTATGTAGGCTAAAATTAAGGATTCCAGAACTTCCACCAAAGAGAGTCACTCCAGTGCCTAAGTAATGTGAAATAAAGATAACCATTCCTCCTGCTGTCCTTGCTAAAATTTAAAAAAAGGTCTTCTGCTTTCCAGTGTAGCAATTACACTTAGCTAGCACAACTCATAATCACCAGAGAAGCCATTTCTTCTGAACTATCTAAGTTAAAGCTACTGCCATCTCCCATGATAACAAATTTCATAGAAATATTTTCATCAGTCAGACCTGAACAACCAGGCAGTTTTGCTCAATGATATGAGGCAAAATGAGTTCTGCAAAGGGAAGATACTCCAAATTCTTGAGCAAAGAATGGCTCTTCCCAACCTTAAATGTTTTGATATGAAGCAACCAGATTCGTTCAGGTTGTTTTTATGTAGCTGCATCAGAGTTTCACATAGTACTAATAAAATATATTTGGGTTTTATTTTTAAAGTGTTTCCTGCTATTTTCTAGAATGTACCATGTCTTGAATTTGAAGATCTTACTTTATACAAGAAATATGTGCTTTCTGCAAATTCTGGCCGTAAAGGATGCTGAGCCCAATGAACCCGGAAGTCTGTTGTGAATGCCTGAACAAGACAAGAGGAAAGATAAAAATATGAACTATTCTGCTTTGGAGGAATAACTTACAGCATACTGATATTACAACTATACAGTAAGGTTGTCTCCTTCAAGATAATACAGCAAATCTACTGTTAATCTAAGAACTCCCATCTTGGGTCATCAGTGGTCAGCAACATTTTCAGGTAGGAGTAACCATCCTGCAATTGCAACCTATATCACTGATGTCCCCAAATATATATTTTTTATAATCATTAAAAACATTTCTTGGAAAAATTAAAATGTCCCAAATTCCCTATAGTGTCCTGCAAAGAAACAGAAATCTTCTGAAACTTGGCTTATCTTTTAAAATTTTGACCCTTAAATTTCTTTTAAAAAATTGGTCAACAGATGTCATCAAGTGGTGCTGCAGGTGCTACAATGATGTCCCCTGTTTTAAGTCTGCTTCTACTGGACCATAAACTCTCAAATGAAACTGTACAGAACACACAGATGTTTTTGGCATAAAGACCTCAAAAGAGATTCAAAAGACATTTTCGACATGTACAGCAATTCAGGATGGTGTTATGGACAGAGTAACAACTTCACATTTGACTCATATTCATCCAAAAATCTCTTTCAATATAAATATAATAAATACACAGTGATCTGTAATACTGTTAGAATAACACTGATTTTGATAGTTGAATAAGCTTACTCTTCAACATCACTAGAAGTTTTTTTTTAATATTTTCATGGAGGCCATCCAAATATTTTATTTTCAACTTCCAAATAAGGCAATAGCAGTGAAAATGAGATAAACAAATCTTACAGAAATAGAGAGAGCTACCATAAATAATCAAGTATCATATAAAATATTATGTAAATATCATTTATTTTTACATATATCCATGCATGCACTTTTAAGGATTTATTTATTTAGTCAAAATTGGAAGCATATGAATGGCCCCTTGAAAAGTGACAGACGGATTATTAATGCAAAACCTCAACAAAGTAAAAACTGACTTAAAGTACTAGGTGAATGCTGTTAAATATTCCTAACACTCATGGACTCAAGTTCACTATTAAAGCTAAATTCACCAAGTCTAAAATAATATTTTTCCTCTAACACCTGAAATTTATACTACCTAAATAATGAAATCATAATACATGCTCACTGCCTTACCTCAGGAAGAAAATTATGCTTTTTTATCACCTGGTATAGCATTTCATGAGTTTCTATAGCAGGTCGAATATCACCTTTCAATACCTAGAACCAAAACAAAAAAGGTAAAATGTACATCACATTCTCTTAGATAAAAGAATATCTTGCGAAATAATGATATATTCTTTTCCAATCCACAGCACAGGGCACAAGACAAAGTGTAAGAATGCAAGTTAACAATAATCTAATAGAAACAGAATTAATTTCATATGAGATGCAACATTTACTTTCAAAAAGGCAATTACTGATTAAAAGTAATGGACTAAAAGTATTGTTCAGTCGTTATGTCGTGTCCGACTCTTCATGACCCCATGAACCATATTGCGCCAGGCCTTCCTGTCCTTCACTGCCTCCCTGAATTAAAAAGGCAATTACTGATTAAAAGTAATGGACTAAAAGTATTGTTCAGTCGTTATGTCGTGTCCGACTCTTCATGACCCCATGAACCATATTGCGCCAGGCCTTCCTGTCCTTCACTGCCTCCCTGAATTTGCTCAGTTTCATGCTCATTGCTTCAGTGATGCTATCTAACCATCTCATCCTCTGCCGTCCCCTTCTCCTTTTGCCTTCAATCTTCCCCAGCATCAGGGTCTTTTCCAAAGAATCCTCTCTTAGCATTAGGTGACCAAAGCATCTGAGCTTGAGCTTCATTATCAACTTAAAAGTATATGACCCCACTATTTATGTCCTCTAACTGAAAACATACATTTTGCTATGAGAATGTAGTGGTTAGCGATGCACAGAAGGTGTCAAATTTAAACCATTTTAAATTCAAACCAACCTGTGGCAAGTCTAACTGTGGCAAACACTGTTCCAGGTTTGCCATAGTTCTTTTGTATTTAATATAGGCTGTTTTAAACATTTTGGAAGATGTTTAAAATTTGAAGTAATACCACCTATATGATAAAAACAGTATGTATCAAATGCAAAGCAACTGTTTTAAACTCAAAATGTGGCATTTCAAATTTGTACATTCTTCGTGGCAATCTTCTAAAAAGTATAAGGTAGTCTGTCTATTAAACTGTCATTTATAATAAATACAGATTATTGAAGGATGCTAAAGTGCACCAATTGAAATTGCTTGAGAAATGCTGCATAACAAGTACAGGATAAATGTGGAATACCTAATACTTTTAAACATGTTCTTAATCAATCATAAATTTAGAATTTAGAGAGAAAGATGACTCTATGCATAGATAAAGAACATTGTGGAAATTAATTATATTAATTGAGTTGAGGGTGATGTGGTTAGAGATTATGTTGTCCCCGGATGTTGGTTGTTTTTTATATATTGTTGTTGTTCTACCTGGTAAAGCTGTCCAGAGAGTCTTTGGAGTTGAGTAAACTAAAAGTTCAATTAATCAATCAATATCATTGGATGAAAATGTTTTTGCACACGCAAAACTTACTTGCAAACCAGGAAAAAATGCTAGTAGTGAGTCCATCCAAGTCCGAGCATTTAGCATTGGCTTGTGTATGTGCACATCAAGCAAGAGAGGTGGCTGGCTGATATATCTCATTATGGCATCATAATGCTAGAAAACATCAGAATTTCATGAGTTTATTCACTTTGAACCCATTTCTAAAAGCTGATTTAAACCAGATAAGCACACTAAACAATAATGCTTAGATTTAGAGACTGCAAGCCAACTATCCGCCATCTATAGCTCTTATTTAAAAATGAAAACAGCCATATTCCTTAACTACTTTATTAAAGACAGAATTAATACACCCAGGAATAAGATTTAAATAATTTGCTATTAAATGAATTGTTAAATTAATCTAAGTTCCATAGACAAGCAGAATAAGCAATTAAAGAATTACAATCTGTCCCCAAGATCATTTTTTCTTTTCCTTATTATTTTCCTCACCTGTACCTTAATCGCAGTAAAGCGCTAGCATTGGATACCCAGCACTGGGATTAACTTCAGGGTAGATGTTGAAATATGCTACATTTATGATGAGTTGAAGTAAACAACATTTTAGCTGCCAAGCTTTTTTTTCTCAAAATGGTAGTTAGACTACTAAATCTAACAGCAAGTTAACATTAGCAAATATATTTGATCCTCTTATTAATTACCCATTTTACTTCCAATATTTAAGAATCCTAAATGTGGCTGATGCCTCACTAATAGGCTACTTTAAAATGAAAAGTTCTATTATTAATTTGAGTATTTTTATTATGAATACACCAATGTTTGGAAGTAGATGAACTTCATGCTAAATGGAACAATGAAAAAGGACAACTTGCAAAGGAGTGGAAAGAAACATCAGCATATAATTATTTCTGGTGGTGTAATAACACACTAATTACAGAAGAACAGATGCAACAATGTCTAACATTATACATCATAAGTGTACTATAAAGTTCTATAGCTCAAGGAGGGAGAAACCCTGTACTTACGGTGTTAAATCTTTCTAAAAAACTGTCATCTCCAAGCAAGACATAGGCCTTTAATAAATACTCATAATATGAATCTATGCCTGCTCCAACTCCGCTATCTAGAACAAGATAAAAATGTTATTATAATTAATTTCATAACTAGTATTCAATGAAATAAGTTCCTATTACTATAAAATGTTTGATTTAAGCGCAACCAAGAAACAAATAAAAAGGGCTATGGGATGAGAGTAAGCATAATGTAATTTTTTTTTTAGTCCAAAGCAAGATCCAATTTTCTGACATGTACTTCGTCCTCTGCATAAAACACCTCTAATCTCATTTTTATTTGAATTTTGTTTACTTGAATTACATAGGTTTTTTCTATAAGCAAGAGGGAACATAGCTTCATACCTTTACGGACCCAGTCACCCGTATGAATGTTAATAGTAACTCCCACTAAATTGCTGCTTCGTTGCCTTTTCTCCCAAAGGAAATCAAGTGCCTTCCGTGCATATTCCTAAAGAAAATAAAATTAACATTTTCTAATTAAATACAGGTTTAAGTGCAATGTAGCAGCCAGGAAATTGGTGCAAGCAATTAATTTTATTCAGTTGTTCTGCTTTTAAACGTATACAAGTTGGTACAACAGTAAATTCTTTTTTGTATATACTGGACATCTCAGAGAAGGTTTAAAAAGAGTTGGATGCAACTGCATTGCTACCAGAGATGTATTATAAAAATTGGAACCAACTCATATAATTTGGACTCGTCCTACTATTGCTACAGTTAGGACTCAAAGAGATCATTAATATAACTTTAGATTGATCGTGGTTGTTAAGAATGCATATGATCTGCTTGGCTGTATCCCCAGCCATTTAAAGTCTAACATCAATAACTATGCATGGGGAATAGCCCAATAGAATTATCATACAACATTGGAAGGATAACTCTATGCTGGACTTGCACGAACAGATGGCTGATATGTGTGATCAGTTAACATTTGAATTAGGGGTGGGTTTTGGTTTTTTTTTGGACAAATAGGCAACAAGTAGGACTTCTGAGTAATCTTGTCTAATTTGGGGAGTTATTTTGTAGATGAGATGCATTTCCAGAGCCTTTTTCCCCCTTTGCGGGGGAGAAAGGAGGGTAATATCATTTTGTATTAATATTATTTTGTATTGTAATAATTTGCTATTATTAGTGAAGACATTTTTTGATGTATCAATGTGTTTGGGGATCTGAAAAATCCCATTTATTATTTAACAGGCATTTAGCTTTAATAGACACCGCTTCCCTTCTTCAGTCCGTTAAAAACTTAATGGACTAAAAAAGGGAAGAGGTGTCTATTAAAGCTAAATGCCTATTAAATAACAAATGGGATTTTTCAGACCCCCAAACACATTGATATATCAAAAAACCTCCTCACTAATAATAGCAAATGCCTATTTTGAGGAGACGCAATGAACACTGTTCAGACTGATTCAGACTTGAACCAGCATTTGGGGTACAACCTGGTATTGCTTTAACTCAGACAAAAATCAGATCTAACATATGTTGTACATTAAATCCAAATCCAAAGTCAGTTAAACTACAATCCATCAAATCAAAAATTCATCATAATTTCTTTTTTTCATTCTCATTAGACACAATCAAAAAAATCAGGAAATAATATTATAGACCAATATTAAGGTCTAGGAGAATACTTATGAATACCATGAAAAATGATAGGATTTTTAATAAACAAAAACAGCCCACTCATTTTAAAAACACCACCACATTCTTTGCATCAAGTAAAAGATGGTGGGTAATTCATGACACCATACACTAAAATTCAATTTCCAACAGCCTCAGGTAGCATGGCCAAGTTACAAATGGACAGAGCTTGTTTACCTTGGCAATAAAGGATTAACTCCTAGCTCCACTTCTGTCAGTAAAGCTTCTAAAAACTAGCTTGAATAGTATTGCAGGTTAATAGACTAGTAAAGGAAAATGACGTCCATTAAAACTGAAACTGCAGGTTTATTTTAAGATTGGAAATGCCACCTGTCTTCTGTGTAAATAATTTGTTACCAGCAACTAAATAAGTGTTACCAGCACTAAATAAGGCTGTTGTAGGATTCATTTTCAATTTATATACTATTGGCAATAAGTCCACAGACAAATTATTAATAACAAATATTACTAATGTAGACAATATGAGGATTTATTTTATCTATTTAAATGATTTACATGGCTGCCCATCTTACATCAGTCACTGAAGAAAGGGACAGTAGCTTGAAGCCACTTTGGTATTTCTGAAATAAAAATCTGAACTGGAAATGTTTTACTTACTACATCTTAACTTCTCTACAACACTAGAGGTTTAACAATGGAAGGGACTTTCTCCCAAGGTCAAAAGGTACTCCTCTAGTTATTGGGAAAGAATGCTAAGCTTTCTTAACTAAATCTGAAGATGATGACAATGGCTGGACCAAAGATGAAGGAAATCTGATCACTGATGGTGCCACGATGGAAAGAAAATGTCCTTGTTTTACAAGGGCACATACTGCTGAATGGAGAATGTAAGAAGCATGAATGAAGGACAGATTGAATACAGCTCTATTTTTCTGGAGCCAGATCAGATTGGCTCTTTGGAATCATCTCCAGATGAAGGTGATGGCAGGATCACCCACTGGCACTCCTTACAGAGGGTCCCTGTGAAGAGACTGCAATCTAGCAATCTCTAGCAGGTGGAACACTTTGGGAGTTGAGGGAAACACTGAGCCCAAGCCGTAGTGCAGAGCCTCCAAAAGGACACTAGATTTGCTTTCAGTTCCTCTTTTAATTAACATTGGAAACTGCCTATTTGTAATTTACTTGGAAATTAAAAACCTCCTGAAAGACAGGTTGCTGTACACTGGGAGAATTTCCTTCTATCCTGGGAGAAAGAAGATTAAAGTAAGTTTATAGATCAAAAAGAAATATTTTAACTTTTGGAAAGAACGAATCGGAATTCAGAATGCTGATTGGGGACAGTTAAGAAGCTAGATAGATTTGAAACAGCTTTTTAAGGATTGTTTCAAATGTTTAAAAAAATACAATAAGTGAGTTTGGATTTAACTGCAAGAAAATCTGTCCTGGGAAAGTTTTGCTTCTGAAAATAAACGTCAAATAACAAAGAGCTTTGAAGGTTAACCAGAGGGAACTAGAGAGCAATTAAAGGAAGAGATATCTTTTAACACAATGGAGGAATAACCTTCTTTCCAAGAAGAATTTTTAGCTGTTTGGAATCAGTGTGTCCAGGAATTATTTCTAAAATTGGGACCAACAGAGGTTGTAGAAGAAAAAAAGATTTCACTGGATAAAATAGAAGTTGAGGACGACTTGAATAAAGACTTTAAAATGGACTTTAAAGAAATGCCAGATTATGAGAGATATGGAAGATATGGGAAAAGGTGCTGCGGATCTGAAGATGGACTCAAAGATGCTTGATTATGAGAATGATTTGGAGAAAGAAGCTGTAAGGGATCAGGTGAGTGACTTTGAAAGTTTGGACCCACAGAAGGGAAACACCAAATCTCTGAAACATTTTCTGAAAATAGACAGGTAGAAAATAAGAGATTACTATCTGGGACTTTATTTGGAGAAGAGATTGAAGAGTGAGCCTTTCAAAAAGAAGAGAAAGGAATTCAAAGTGGATTTATCAGATCAGGGTTAAATTGTATAAGTTTTGATCTTGGATTGTTAATATTGACTTTTCTTTTTATGACCAGGGCTGTAAGACAATGATTTGTATCTGTAAAAGTGATTGATTTGGTTTAGTTTAAAATACATATGTTATTATTACTGGTCTTTTGTATGCGTAAGGGGAGAGGTCTTTTATGTTTTATGTTTTAGAAAAAATTTAGAAGTTAAAATGCAAAGTAGACCTATTTGTTTAAGCTTAAAATACATAGTTTATTATTGCTGGCACTCTTAATGCTTTTGCTGATTAGACTGATGTTGATTTTTTTTATATAATTTGATTACTGCTTAGGGATGAGAAAGGGGATTAATTTCTGTAATATTAGAGAAGGTTTTAAGTTACTGTTAATGCATGTACTTGTTTGGAGGGGGGGAGTCATTTTTTATATTTCTTTCTTTCTCTTTCCTCTTTTTTTCTTTTTGTCTGTAGGTCTTTTAGTTTTGTATTAACTTTTATATATATAAGCTTTAATAAAAATATTATGAAAAAAAAAGAAGCATGAATGAAGGAAAACTTGAAATTATTGCAACAGAAATAAAGCATACTAAACTGGATGTTTCAGGAATAAATGAATTTAGATGGACCAGAAAGGGCCAATTTAAATTATTTAATTTAATTTAGATGGTTACATGATAAGTTATTTAAGGCACAAGTATATACAAAAAATGAGCAATGATACTCAAAAGGAAAGCTATCACATGCTCAGCATCAATGTTACTCAAATGTATGTACTGACTTTGATGCAATACTCTCTATGGAAAATTGCAAGAGGACCTAAATATAACTTCAAGAAAAGATGTGGCCCTGCTAATGGAATGCAGATATTGTAGAAATGGAAATACCTGGAATCATAGGAAGAATTGGACTGGATAAATGCAATAATGCAGGAGATAAGTTAACAGAGTTTTAAGAAAAGAATTCTTTGTTTATTGACAACCCCTAATATAAATGCAGACTCTGTACTGGATGTCACTAAATATGCAGCTTCAGAATCAAACTATGTCATACGAAATTGAATATGAGATGCAATCTGGTCAGCCAAAATGTTTCCGTTTGTAGACCATAAATTATAAATGTCAAATATACAAGTTTAATTAAAGCAAGTATTTGTCCCAAAAAGATTTGACTTGAAGGACATACAGTCCAAAAATAAGAATAAATATAAAGACAGAATCAGTATGCTTTCCTTATGCATAAGAGAAACTAAGGAGTTACAGAATAGACATGTCCAACAGCCACAACAGTGTCCAACAGTAAAGCACCAGACACAGATAAAATACCTCATTAACTACTTAATTTGTTGAGGGAACATCATCTGTATGTTTATATTGCTCTAAGTTACTCTTTTAAATTTTTCTAATAATACAAAATGTAATACAACATTGTATTCTTACATTGTAGGTATTTACATATTTTGTAATAATGATGATTATTATTTATTAAACATTTACGCCACCCAACTCAACAACTCTGGGCAGCTTACAACAATCAAAGAAATTACAATAAAATCAATTTTAAAAATAAAGATAAAAGATGGCAGGCACGATGAAGCAAGGGGTCTCACTCTCCCTCACCAAAGGCTTGGGTGAAGAGCCAGGTCTTCACAGCTCTTCTAAACGATAGCAGAGTGGGGGCCATCCAGATCTTGGGCAGGGGAACCTTGTTCTACAGGGCAGGTGTTGTTACAGAGAAGGTGTGCTTCCAGGGTCCTGAGAGATGACATTATACAGTCCAAGCAACTTGGAACACGCCAACCCTGCCGGATCAAATCAGCTGGGCAGAAGGTATGGAAGACAGGCAGTTCCTCAAATAACTAGGCCCTATGCCATGTAGGGCTTTATAGGTAATAACTGGTGCCTTGAATCGCACCTGGAAGCAAACCAGCAACCACTACAGCTTGCAAAGCAGAGGTGTTACATGAGCATACCGAGATATGCCCATCACTGCTCATACTGTAGCATTCTGGACCAGCTGAAGCTTCTGGGTAGTCTTCAAGGGCAGCCCCAGGTAGAGCATATTGCAGTAGTCAAGCCACGGGGTGACTAGAGCATGAGTGACTGCTTGAAGGGTTCCCCAATCTAGGAAAGGGCGCAACTTGTGGAGTTGTACAAAGGCCTTCCTGGCCACAACTGACACCTGCTCTGCTCTTTAAGCAGGAAGTGCGAGTCCAGGAAGACCCCAAAATTGCATACCAACCTTCAAAGGAGAAGTGCTACCCCATCTAAGACCAAAGATGGAATAACACCAGATCTGAGTGGCCCAAACACCCATAGCACTCAGTTTTGGTAAAATTGAGTTGGAGGTGGTTCCTCCCCATCCAAACCCACACAGCCTCTGGGCACTGGGACAGAACCTTGACAGATATTTAAAACAGTACCTCAAAATATAGAAAAACAATTTCTGGTATCAGAGATTCAGTGACCAGTTCAGCAATAGACCATAGCTGAAATTAATGCTATCAAGTAAACACACAAAAGTTAGAAGTTACACAAAAATAATGAATCACTTATCATTAAGCAAACCTCAAATATTGATGCTCCTGTGAAACGACTCAGAGCAGCAAACTCTAAGATCAAAGTACCAGCACAAGCTGTACAAGTGTCAGTCTCTGTTCCTGTCCGGGCTTCTGGACTTCTTAGACCAAATTTTAAATTAATCTAAAAGAAAAAAAAAGTACTGAAATATTTTACTGTGGTGATGATATTTCTTAAGAACTTAGGGAAATAAAGTAGATTGGTTGTTTCAAACAAAACACAATAAATAGAAAATAAGTTTGTATAGTATTACGGAAAAGCTGGAAAAATTAAGTAAGTTAAAAATTAAGTTACAAGCAAGAACATACAGCACCATAAAAGCAAGCAGTATTCAAGAGCATTTGAGTATGGCAAATTTATGCAAACTGACTTAATATATGGGTTTAAATTCCAATGCTAAACTCCCTGGTGCTTTGACTTTAAATGAAGTTGTCTCTGAGTATAGCACCTGCTATGGAACGAATAGTCCTTGTTTTCATAATCAAACGCAGATGGCTTTTTTAGTCCACGGCATTTGAAAATGTAATAAAGCACACAGATAAATATATAAATATATTCATAAACCAGGCTATTAGCTGAAGAGTTAAGACTCTAAGAGTTGTAAGAAATGGATGCCTTTAACCAATAATATCACTGATAACTCTCTCTCTGATTCAACATGTAGTTTTACCATACTAGAATAACAACATGTGGCATACTACCAGCTCACATTTTACTTACTCTTGGATATGGGAGACCACTTGTGGTGTTAAAAGCTGGCAAAAGTTTGTAGCCTAATTGTTTTGCCATGTGTAGAAGTTCTCCATTGTACCACTGCATGACTTCACCTTTCTCTTTCAGCATGATTGCTACTGAGTGCCCACCTAAAAGACCGCTAGATAAAATGAAACGGAGAATTCAGGAAGTTTATTAGCTCAGTGAATGCTGATCCAGAAGAGAACTGAAGATTGGGGAAGCATAGGAGAAGAGAAAGTCATTCTCTGAATTGCTTCCAGTCTCTAAGCAATATTTAGTAATTAGTTGTACCAGCCTTAAGCATAATGCAAGTGCTGAGAAACTGAAAATAGTTTGTAGAATTTTTAAATATCCTTTACTTCTAAAGAAGTGTGTATAAGTGAAGAGGTGTAAACCCTTCTGATAATAATGCAGAAAACCCACAGTTTACAAACAAGAATAGGTTTACAAACTATGAATTCTATTATGCTTAAAAAGAAATAAGTGTATTTAACTTCAGACCACAAAATGTATACAGGTCATCATTTGGCAGATTTACAAATCTGATGCCTTTTTCCCAGTATAAAACTTACCCAAGTACTCTGATGTTCGTTTCAAACACTGATACCACAATGTCATTGTCTAAATTAACATCTCTAATTACTTTTTTAACAGCATCTTCAAACTCTTTGGTTTTATTTAATACCTGCAAAACAAGAGTAAACAATCTGATTCCCTCTTAAGAAGCTATTTTTTTAAAGTAGTAACTAAAAGTTTCATTTAATTAAAAAATAAAGAATATCAGATTCTGTCATCTTAGGTCCCATTTCAGAGACAAAGCTCTGAATGGATGTTTAGTTTCCCTTCTCCTAAGAAAGGGTGAAGGAGATATGGCTGAGCAGTGCACACTGGATAAATATGGAACCTCATTATATGCAAGCAATCTGTAATTCAACTGAAGTAACATTTCTGGATTCTCCATAAGCAAGCTAATAGCAAAAAAAAAAAAAATCTACCATACTAAAGTGAATATATAGTGAGAGAGAGAGTCAATATGGTGTAGTGGTAAAGGTGCTGGTCTAGGAGCAGGGAGAGCCAGGTGCTAGTTCACCTTCAGCCACAGAGGCTCACAGGGTGACTTTGGGTTAGTCACTCTCTCAGCCCAACCTATGTACTTCACAGGGTTGTTGCTGTGAGGAAAATAGGAGGAGGGAGCATGTGTGCCACCTTATATCCCTAATCCATTTTGTAGAGGAGGGTTATAATTTAAATAAATAAAGTATTTTGTTAAGGACAATTATTAAATTCTATTTAATATTGTAAAACTGGAACCTCAAATCTAAATACATGATAGAAGTTAAACCTACCACAAGAGTGTCCAAAGTATCAATTAGTGTCAGCGAAAACCTGAGTAGGAAAGGGGAAGAGATTAAAAAATATGATTTTATCAGATGCAATAAATAATTTATTATTAAATGTTTATTTATTATTAAACAAAATAGTATGCTAATGTGAAAGAAGCTGTGAGCCTTTGCAGAAGCCTATCTGTTCAGGCCCGATTACTTCATTTGTATACATCCAATCTAGTAGACGGCGTTCAAGATGT